CCTTCATGCTTGACATATGAAAAATTGTGCTGGACCTTCATTACTGTAAAAAAATGTGGAAAAGTAATGACCCTGCCCACATGTACAGGCGAAATGCACAAATGCTCCAAATTCTCTTTAAAAGCAGGCATTTAAGGACTCCAAACACTAGGTAAATTTCAATGTACCTCTTTCCTGCTGCAGTTAGATCCCTACCAGTGTCTAAGTTAACAAATTTAAAGGGACCTTTCTCTGACTGCAGAGTCTATGTAGACTTGCTCAGGAATTAAATACTAAGTGGTTTGTAATGATCTACTACTGCATTTTTATTTGTCAGTATTATTTCCTATGCATGTCATTTCCCATCATGACCATTCATTATGCTGGGTTTACAAAAATATTATGCAAACTCATAGCTGTCTACATTGAGATTGTGGGAATTTTGCACAGGTAAGAGTAAAGGCGGAGTGGAGCACATGTGAGATTTCCAAAATAATTGTATCTCTTTGGTACTTTTGAATCATAATATGTAGCAGTCAAGACCAAACTACAAGATGTTGTCTTTTACAGTGTGCTGTAATAGTTTTAAAAATGCTATATGCTGGGATTTTTTAATACTTAACAAAAAATAAATCTGATTACATACCCACGTTTTTCAAAGTGTGGTGTTCTTAGAATCTTTGTAAATTTGTGTTAAGTCTAGTTCTGACATCCACAGTTGTTATGTATCAGCTCGCAGCTTTTCCTGATTTCCCACTTAAGTGCAATTTGCTCTGGTAGGAGCTAACATAAATGTCAGATTTTGCAGTTTATAGTTTTAGCTATATGAAATTCATGCATACTATGCTGTTTGGGCCTGGTAACCAAGCCTTTAGTAAGGGTAGTGTTTAAATGGATCCTATATCCTATTGAGATTGCCAAATTTTTTCATAATGAAAAATATTATTCCTATATTGACAGAGACTGCATATATTTTTACTGGTACAGAAACTGTTTCTAAAGTAGGTTATGAAATCCCAGTGAATTAATATAGCTGTTTGTAAATGTAACTCTTGTTTCAGCACACTTTACGGATTAAGATCTTTATTCAGATACTGAATTGAAACAAAATTTTTACTTATTTGTGGTCAGGAATGACATATGTGGGGTAGATTGTGAAGAAATTTATTTTGCAAGTTCACATTTCCAACAAGCAGATGAACAAATAGTGCTTCAGGAATTTCAGTGGTTTTGAGATGATTTACATGTAGAATTGGGATGTTCTGATTTGAATAAAGTGTATTTACTTTGAAAGAATAGTTTTAGACAGATGAATAGCCCTTCATTTAAAGCTGTTACTTAGCTCCTGAAGTTCTACTGAAAACAAAACAAAGTGTGATTTATGACATTGTAATTTGACTTGTGAAAGACTGAAGGAAGTGGTACAGGATACCTTAGTATCAAAAACTACCCATACTTGCTATCAAAGGTAAATGTGTCTTGGATTTCTTCTTAATTACAATTGGTACTTGAAATTAGCTAATTATTGGTTACTGTGACTGATGGGATAACCTTCTCTTAGACCCTTTCTTCATTCATACTAAATCCATATCTTTGGTAACAGATTTTGCAGCTTGTAGCACTCTAAATGAAGATCATGACATTTTGTTTTGTTAACAGGCTTTCTAAACCTCTTTAATCAGGATGCTAATAAAAAGTTCTCTAAAAAAATAGCTCAGAAAAGTAATCAAAATGTTCCGTTGTTAGTCCTCGCAAAATACTACAGAGTAAAGAAATACTGACAATTATAAAAAAACAAACCCATATGTTTCTATTTCTGTTCATAGTTCCTGGGTCTTGTGCATTCTGTAGTTTATGTTCCTAGTGATGGTCCCATAAACACAAAACTCCTTTATTTATTTGTAACAGCATTAAGGTTTTATGATCCTCTCTGTTGCCAGTCTAGGAGTTCAGAATTGTAGGAATTCCAATGCTGTAAGTAGGTGGGGCTTTTTAATTGCCATTTATGTTATTAATTCTGTTATATAACGAATATTTGTTGCAGGATTTACAAACATACTGTGATTTTCCTGATATCATTGATGTCAGCATTAAACAAGCAAGCCAGGAAGGCTCCAGTGAGAGAAGAATTGTCACCATTCACAAACAGGACAGCAAGAATCTGGTCTGTTCTTTCAAGTAGATGTTGCTTTGAGCGCACTGTGTGATTGTTGTGTATATAGTATTGTATAACCATTTACCATGTTAATTAAGCATGAGGTAAAACATTAGTTTAGCATTTCAGTAGTGTAAGTGATGTATTGGAACACTAAAGGTCTTCTGTATTCAAAGCTCTGTACGTGGAATGAAATAGAAATAGACATTTATATCTGAGGAAAGTTTCTGATAGACAGATTGGCTCTTTTCTTTATTAGAGTCTTAAACCTGAGTCTACGGTTTTAGTTCTCAAGTTTTACTGTTTACATTCTGTCATGGTAAGCTGTCTGCTAGTGACCAACACGTTGAAAAAGGCTTCAGAAGTGCTCTGAAGGAATGATGATCCACAGAAACTAAGTACTGGGACAAAATGAATGCTATTGCTTTTACTGTTTAAGATTCTTTGAAGAAGATCTTAAGAAAGTGTTTTATACGCCAATGTAAAGGTTTTTTGCTTGAACTCCAATGTGGCACTTGAGTCAGGCTTCCCAGTAGGTATAACTGTCAGAGAGTTGTGTGGTGGGCTGACCCTGGCTGAGTACCTGCCAAAGCCATTCTAATCACTCTCCTTTTCAGCTGGACAGGGGAGAGTAAAAGCAAAGAAAGACTTGTGGGTCAAGATAAGGGCAGGGAGAGATCACTCACCAATTACCGTCTTGGGCAAAATAGACTAGACTCAGGGAAATGAATTGAATTTATTGCCAGTCAAATCAGAGCAGGGTAATGAGAATCAAACCAAATCTTAAAAATACCTTCCCACCAGCCCTCCCTTCTTCCTGAGTTTAACTTGACTCCTGATTCTCTACCTCCATTTATTGCCAATCAGAGCAGGGTAATGAGAATCAAACCAAATCTTAAAAATACCTTCCCACCAGCCCTCCCTTCTTCCTGAGTTTAACTTGACTCCTGATTCTCTACCTCCTCCCCCTCATCAGTGCAGGAGATTGGGAAATGGGAGTTGCAGTCACTTCATTACACATAGCCTTTACCACTCCCTCCTTTCTCACATTCTTCCGCTGCTCCTCATGGGATCTCTCCCATGGGAGACAGTCCTCCATGAACTTCTCCAATGTGAATCATTCCTTCTTAATAAGGAGTTTTAGGACTCACATTCTTGGCACATGCTCAAAAGCACCAACTTTTTTTTCACTGCTACCTAGTGAAGAACTTGCCAGAGAATTGTGTTCAGCTGATAAGTGTGTCCTCAGTGTAATGGGTAAACTTGTGCAGCACATGCTAAAGCCTGTTCTGTTGGGGTATGCTACTGAATGAAGTCACTAGGGTGAGTCTGCAAATAGCAGAATAACACTTCTCTATTTTTCTTTATTGGCAATAATAAATATGCTACAGATTAATTTAATTTTGCCCTGCTCTTACCTGTTCAGCATATTATGGGTAGACTTTTTCCACACTCATTTTCCTTTGACCACATATTTTTTCTCCCTGCTTCCATCCATTGTACCTGTCTTTGTAGTAGTTAAAGCTCAGCTTCTATGTATGATGCAGCTCAGGGTGCCAGCTTTTGCAGACTACTAGTGAAGTTTTCAGGCAGGTACTTTTCTAGAGGCTTTTGTTTGCTGCTTGAAGGCAACCGTATAAATCTTTGTAAAGTGAAGGCTGTCTTTTAGGGAAAAAGCCCAATGTTGGCAGTGCTATAGGTGTCTGCCATGGTGAGTTGTACCTGCTCCGGTTTTCCCTTTCAAATGTTCTCTCATGTCAGCATTCCTCTGCTGTTTCATATACTTAGGTTAAGGGTTGGTTTTTTGGGGCAGATTTCATGGAATCATGGAATGGTTTGAGTTGGAAGGGACCTTAAAGATCATCTAGTTCCAACCCCCTGCCATGAGCAAAGACACTTTACACTAGACCAGGTGGCTAAAAGCTCTTTCCAGGGGTGGGGCATTCACAACTTCTCTGTTTTGTTTGGATTCAGTTTTAAACATTGAAAACTGCTAACAAGTTTTGAGTGACAATTGGAAGGTAGAACTATACAGACAGTAGTTAAAAACTACTTGTATTCATCTCTGTAATGTATGTATATATGTATGTCTTTTATACCATTAGCATATGCAGGAAATTTCTGTCGGCTGTTAAAAACTGGAATTCTCTTCCCCCACCCCTTTCTTCTTTGGCAATTTAACAGGAGGCTGAATTTCAGTCATTAAGAGAAGCTCTTTCCTTTGTATCATTAATTGATGGATATTACAGATTAACTGCAGATGCCCATCATTACCTCTGTAAAGAAGTAGCACCACCATCAGTCCTTGAAAATATCCAAAGCAACTGTCATGGACCAATTTTGTAAGTAATGTATTAGCAATGTAATAAGGTGATACTATTTTGAAAGATGACCTTTAGTTGACTGTCAGCTGTGATGAACATCTCAAAGTATGTATTTATTGCATTTATGTAATGTAAAATGCTTTACATTTTTCCTCTTATTTTTCACTTCGCAAAATAATAGCTTCTTGACATGTCTTAAGAAGTAAATGGAAAGATAATGGTTTTCATTTTCTTCCTTAGAGTTCTGTATTTTTTCCCTCAAGTTAGAGAGGAAAGTCTCTGACTTTGCAGAATTGTAATTACTACCATGATGGCAACATGCAGTGTCATAGAGAATCTCATGTTTTCACTGTAGCTTCTAGCAGTTACATTATCTTGAGTTGCCAAGGGGGCAAAGGCAAGTTCAGGTAACACACTCCTCAATATTTGAGCAAGGATTGCAGTAAACTGCTAGCCATATAAATCAGGAGGGTTTATTTCTAAGGAATGTTGTCTCCTTATTTGCTTTCTTTGTTGCTTGTTTTATTTTTTTAAAGGAAGAATTTAATACCTTAATTTATTTTTGAACCTTTTAGTTCATATAGTATTGTTTATTGTTTGAAGAAGCACATACAGAAGCTTAGAAATATTTGGTTACACAGAATAAAATGGGTATTTGCTATAGCTACAGAAAGCTCCAAAGACACAATGCATGAAACTAGCACTGTTACTCAGGTAATACAGAATAGTTCTGTAAATTTCCTGATGACAGAAAGAATAGGTGCTATAATGCTCAGAAGACATGAAGGAGAGGGATGGAGATCTATACAGTTCTAATCACATTTCTTGCACCAATGACTAATGCTGTATATTGACCTTTATTTAGAGCTCTTTAGAAGGATGTGCAATCAATGAGTCGAGACCTTTCTAAGACATTCTATTCCTCATTCCTGAGATGGATAACATAGTCAGTTAGCAAGGCTTGTTTAAGGGGGAATTTGTGCTTGTTGTAACAAATGATGTTTTATTTCAGCTCTCTTTCTTGTTAGCAGTTTCCGCAGCTAAACCCTCCTTTTTCATCCACACAAATAGCTTGCTAATTAGCTTATTAATTAGGCAGTTTTATTACAGCTTCTTTTATACTGAATGGTGAAAGTCATATCATAAGCCTAGGGGTATATAATGGTTTAGGCCCTAAGATTTCTTATTGAATAATTAATTGTGATATATTGCTCCCTAGATAAGCAGCCATCCTAAATATTGGAAAATAAAGGGGAGAAAGAATTAAAAGAAGCTGTAAAAATTGAAAGTTTGAATTGTTGTTATATTAGATACCTGTTAATATTGCTCATTAGCCAAGCTCTGATATTCCTGGATTTTGAAATTATGCAATATTAAACATTTTCTTTTTACTGAAGCATGGACTTTGCTATCAGCAAACTGAAGAAAGCAGGTAATCAGACTGGTTTCTACGTCCTTCGGTGCAGTCCCAAAGATTTTAGAAAATACTTCCTTACCTTTGCCATTGAGGTTTGTATTCTGTCTTAGTGCCTGTGTAATTTTTATTGTGATAATAATAATGAGCCTGGGATATTCAGTAAATGATTGTGGATTTTCTCTCCAGAGTGTTTGGCTGATGTGTATATTCTATTGCTACTTCTGTCAGACTGGCCAACTTTCAGGTTTTTTTGTGAAACACCAAAGTGCTTGTATGGTAAAAAATTGCTAATGGCATATACCATATACCTAGGAGAACAAGACAGGAGGAGGAAAGATGTCGATAGTTCTGGGGATGGTGACATGGGTCTTGGGACTGTAGTAAATGTCTGGGAGTTGAGCAATTTGGTGATTTTATTTTATTTTTTCCTTAAAGTTTGGGGGGTTTTTAGTTGGATATTTTCCCTGGGATTTCCAAACACCTCCTCCTCCTCATGAATTAGACTGAGTGTACAGCCCATGATGATATGAGAGTTTCTCCTTTACAAGCTCTTGTGGGTTTGTGTTCTGTCCCCATCCCCAGTGCTGGGCAGAGATGTTATTTGACAGCTGTTATATCAACACAGTTGTTCTGTAGGTATGTGGTGTTTGCTAGAGAGAAAACCACTCGTGAAATACATGGAATTCTCACGCAGCTCAAGGACCAGATGCATGTCTCCTCTGTGATGTTGCTGTTAGTGATAACACAATACTTTAATATTGCTGTTACATAATTGCATGATCTTGTTCCAAGGATGAGCTTCTTTTTAATTAAATTAACAGAGCTACCTTTGGGGTTTTAACTATAGAAGGTAGTACATGTGTTTTCCTGTTGGTGTGCAACAAGCTGGCAGGTTTGCTAATACTGTCAGAGATGTGTACGTCTCTGAAAATGATAAGTAATGTTGATGTGTGACTGGAGAAGTAAGAAGAAGTTCACAAAAATGTTTTGTCTAGTTAATAAAGTATTTGATAGGGCATTTTGTAGATTAAGAGATCAGTTCCTGAGCAAGCTTAGAGAGGCTAAGTGTGCGAGACAAGTTGGTGAGCCTACCATTGCCATTAAGTGATGTAGCCACAATTTTGTTTCCTTTTTCTAAGTCTTGTGTAAGTCATTGGAGGCTTTTGAGACTCAGAATTTATTGAAACATTTGCTGCAGTATTGACGTGAAGGACCATGAAAGCACTGTTAAGCTCAGCTTGTTTGAAAATGTTTAATAGTATCTTTTCAAGACTCATTGTAAAAATAATACAGTGCATATTGAAAATCTGTGCCAGGAACTAATTTCTTAGAACTGTACTGTGGATGACAGAAAAACAGAACTACAGCTGAGATCTCCAAACGCTTGTCAAAAGAACATGGACCGTGAGCATTTTGGCCTATTGCTTCCAACAAAATTTTGTTTTGCTATTACCCCATGTCAGGGTGAATAAGCTTTCATTACTAGCTCTGAAGGATTTACCTATGATTCATTATCTGTTTTCTCAGCTCCATCTTTGCAGCTTTCATTAGCGTTTGTTTTTCTTTAGCATCAACATGCTAGTCCCAGTGCTGGGAGTAGAGTCATGTTTTCTCAGAATCAATATTACATAGTGAGAACAAAATAACAAATTATGATCATATTTTGTTGAAGCATTATTTCTTTAATTAATAGAGTGCTATATATTTTAATAAGCTCTCAAATACTAAATATTGATCAATTTTATTTTTCATGGAAAAAATCTCTGCAGCGTGACAATACCACAGATTATAAGCACTGCTTAATTACAAAGAATGAGAATGGAGAATACAATCTTAGTGGAACCAAGAGAAATTTTAGTAATCTTAAGGATCTCTTGACCTGTTACCAGACAGAAACTGTCCGTTCAGACAGCATAATTTTCCAGTTCATCAAATGCTGTCCTCCAAAACCAAAGGGTAAGAGAGAGATTATTTTTTTTACACAGAAAGCTTTCTGACTTCTAGATTAAAGAGTTTAAAATAAGTTAACACTAAGTGACTCTCAGATGGATATATACGTTTGTGTGTGTGGTTTTAAATTTCAGTTACCTATTTGTTCACCTTCTTTGTCATAGTTTTTAGTACCAGTGTCTGCCAAATATTATTTTGGTATAAGATGGTCTTCCAGAAATAATCACGGTACCCAGTTTCATGATTAGAAGCAAAACTACTTTCTTAATTGCGGTGGATTGTCTGCAACAGCATTTCTTCTTCAGTCAAGTGTTGTCATGTCTCAAGAAGGAAGGAGCTACTAAATGTATCATTTATCACTGAGGATAGTTCCATGAGCAATAGAACCAACAGTGTCAGCGAATTTATCTCATAGTTGACATCTTAGCCAAGTTATGCCGAGGCTGCAGTGTGATTCCAACTTCTTTTTAACACTGAAAAATACATATGGACTAGAGCTCCTGCCTGAGGAGTCAGTTTTTTTGAATTTGCTTTTTTTTCCTAGTTTTAATATTCATATCTTTCTCCTTTATGAATTCTGATAAAATCTGCCCTTCTAAGTAGTTACAGTTTATGTTCATCAGTCTTTGTCTCTATCGAAATCCATATTAAAAGAAAAACTTCTGAGAACAGACTATTTGATAGCACTTTTTACCTTTCTCAAATTTGACTGAAAATAGCTAATGGGTTCAAAACCTTAGAAAAGATACAATGATTAAATACATAGCTCATTATAAAGAATAATTTTGTCATGTTACTACATTGAAACCAAAAGTGGATATTCATCAGATTTATAAATTGCTGAATAAATATAATCATAAATGTGTGCATATACTTAAAAAACTTAAAAGCAGGTGAGTGAACCTAGATGCCTTTGCTGATTAGAAAATATCAGACTTTGAATCAGATTCAGTACTGTGTGCTTTTTGAATAAACTGATCTCAATGTGGCATCTTGTTTGTGTTGAATTAACAGCCCCTCATTAATAATCCTTCTGAAATTATATTGGTTTAGTTTTATATTTTAAAAATTCACTGTTTTTCTTCTTTCTTCTCACAGATAAATCAAATCTCCTAGTCTTCAGAAGCAATAGTGTTTCTGATGTACCTTCCTCACCTACACTACAGAGACATAATAATGTCAGTCAGATGGTCTTTCACAAAATCCGTAATGAGGACTTGATATTCGTAAGTCCATTACTTAGTTTTTCCACTGTAGTTGTTGGGTTTAATGTACACCAAGTTTTAAAAGCATCAATGTATGTGTAAGAGTCTTATCTGAGCTAGAAAATTTAGCAGTAATCTTTCCTTAGAGTTGTGAAAATTTTTATTTTTTTATTTTCTGTTAATGCAAATAATTTAATTTTTTTTAATAAGAAGCATCCTTTTGACTGTAATAGTAGTTGTTTGCTTCTAGAGGTGTCTAAATACATATTTAACAGCAATTCCTTCCTCTCTGGTTCTTGTAGCAAGTTACTTTCTGAGTTCTTTGAGGAGTCAATAAAAAATAAGCAAAGACTTAAGCTATTTCTGATATAGTTGCTTCGCTTTCCCCTCAGTTTGACTCCACAGCCAACATATCTCTGAAGAGTTGCAGATGCAATGTTTAGGGTGTTTTTTTAAAAGATCTTTTGCAAAACAGGGAGATATTTGTGGGGGTTTTTTTTCCATCCCTATCCTTCCTTTCTTTTAGGAGGAGAGTCTTGGACAGGGCACATTTACTAAGATTTTCAAAGGTGTGAGGAAAGAAGTAGGAGACTATGGCCAGCTTCATCAGACTGAAGTTCTTTTGAAGGTGCTGGATAAAGTACATAGAAACTACTCCGAGGTGGGTGTGATTGTCGACTGCTGTATAACATTTGTTATGCACAAAAACCTGGAACAGAAAACCCCACAGTACAACCACAAACAATATATTATGTTTCATAGGGTCTTTGCAATGAGATGGGAATTGAAACGTTTTTAAAAATGCACGTGGTTTTAATAAATTTATTAGAATTTTGGGGACTTGTTTTCACTGATTCTTTCTCAATCTCTCTCTCTCCTTCCTCAAAGTCCTTCTTTGAGGCAGCAAGTATGATGAGCCAGCTTTCTTATAAACATTTGGTGTTAAATTACGGAGTCTGCGTATGTGGAGAAGAGAGTAAGTAGAAATGAATTATCTTTGTGCCATAATTTTAAACTTTTGTCATTAGAGTTTGACATTGGTTCTGGGTAAAAATGGGACAAAAAGCACAAAAATGCAAGTTGACACACCAGCTGGACAGCCAATACATATTCACATTGCAGTAGCATTAGTCTTGTGTCTGAGAACTGGCTAATGTGGGTGGTAACAATGAAAAGGGAAAAAAATGTCTTAAGAGCGGTCATAGTAACTTCTGTAAATGACTCAGTCATGTCTATTCTATCTGAAAATCTCACTTTTGGAAAGTTTTTGTGAACCTCTGAAACAAGGTTTTGAAATGCCAGAAAAAATTGCACTCCTGCATTGTATGAACCGTGGTTAGCTCGAAAAGGAAGTGCTTTGCTACCCAAAAAATATCTTTATTTACTGTGATTAAAAACAGAAATTGCCACGCTTTTTCCACGTGTGAGCTGATTTTATGAGCATAAATATGGCTTTGGAAGTTTGGTTTAGAGGTCCCATTCTGAAAACATGAGGTCCTGTTACTTCAACTAAAACACCACAAAGTGTTAACAACAGTAAAATCTTTGCATTGTCTAAAAATGTTGAATGTGTTTTCAATTTAGTTTACTGCATTGTGACTGTGTATTAATAAAGTTTTTTAAAGAACACCTGAAATAGATTTTTACCATCTTGTAATGAAATCTTAGTTTTGGATGGTTGTTATGTGCTCATGTTTGCTATCTTTGAATATGCACTGCTGGGTGCAGTTTGCACTAAACCTGAATTTATTATTTTTTTCCAGTAATTAGAATTTGTACAAAAGGAAGGATTTTATAATAACCGTTTATTACGTAGATGGTTATCTTTATTAGGAAGAAAGAATTTCAAAAAAAAGCCAGGAGTTGCCTCTTAGGAGGCTGGAAACGACACAGCACTGTATCTGGCTAAGAATTTGTGCTAGCTTTGAAAAAACCTCCATGGGTGTGTTTTTCTAGTTTATTCATTGTACCATGCACAGGGACTGCATATAAAATTTCGGCTGGGTCACGTTTATAATTTAAAGAAAGTAATTACTGAAAGATGTGTATGGTTACATTTTTCACCTTTATATTACAGTTGTCCTGTGTAGATGGTTCTGTTTCTGAAGGAAGAGACTTGTTACACTTTAATAAGAGTCAGTTACTAAGAGGTAGGCAGAGCAGCTGTTATTGATTCTGTGGCTTACACACTTGAGGTACAGATTTGATGAAAATTGTTTGACATAATTGCAAAAAAAGAAAAGCTTTGAATTTATAGTTAGATCACCAACAAGGTATCAAAAAAGGTGTCATGGGTCTGTCCTGAAATTTCATGATTTGTTGTTGTTGTTTTTAATTGTTGCTCTTCTTACTATTACAAATCAGACATCCTTGTACAAGAATATGTAAAATTTGGATCCTTGGACACATATTTGAAAAAGAACAAAAATGTAATCAATATCTTGTGGAAGCTGGAAGTGGCCAAACAGTTGGCATTAGCCATGCATTTTCTGGTAAGTAGCTCAGTTTGGTTAATGGCTGAATTCAAGTGTTTCAGACTAATGCATGTAGAAGGGCTGAGCTATTACCCAAATTCTTGAGACTCTGACAGGTATTTGAATAGAGGCTGGGCATATACCAGATGTGTAGTGGATAGCCAAGGACAAACTTTTTATCTTGCACAAAGTGTAACCGAATGTCTGATTCTTTTTTAATGCTTCATGTTTTAGCATGATATAAAACCACATTTCCAGTAATGTTTTATTTATTTTTTTTGCCAGGATTCCGTCTTTCCCACACTTCCCACCTCAGCTCATGATGCTGAACATAAACTATTTCCTGGTAGCATTAGTAGTTAACAACTGGAAGGGAAAAACACTGTACTGTTCACACTGCTAGTACATTCTTCTGGGCATTAGGTCCCAAACTTAGTCTGCTTAATTCAGCATAAAGGTTTTTATTTGAGACAGAATATGTGACTAGATGAGACTTTCCTCTAACAGAGTTTGTTTGTATGTTAATTTTAAATGGATCATACTGTTGGATGAGTATTCTTCTGAGGTAACATATATCAGATAGTTTTAAACTTGAAACTTTGAGTAGATAATAAAAATTGGCTAGAAACTCTAAGCTTGAGAGGAACTGATGTAGTGTCTGAAGTTTGATCAACTTATTTTATTTGCTGACGTTTCCCTCATGCTTTGCAGTACTGGTTTTTAAATACCTCTTCAACCCTAAGACTTCTTCTGTCAATATGTCAATATGTATTTCTCTTTACAGGAGGATAAAGGCCTTGTTCATGGGAATGTCTGTGCAAAAAACATCTTGCTTATCAGAGAGGAAGACAGGAAGTCTGGAAACCTACCATTTATAAAACTAAGTGATCCTGGCATCAGTATTACAGTTTTGCCAAGAGATAGTAAGTCTTTGTCAGCTGTCTTGTTCAGTGCTTCTGATGTGAAAAATAAGTTTGGGGTTGGGTTTTTTTCCTGACCACCATCTTCTGTTAAAGTAAGTTATAGTAAGAACATCCTGTTTTAGTAAGTTCCTTGATTTATCTGTCATTTTATAATGATCTCTATAGTCCCTGCCAAGCAGTTTCAAGTCTATCTTATCAATCAGCAAATGACTACAGGAAATAAAGCCACAGTTCTCCATTGTGTGAGGTTTTCTCCTTGCTGTTCTCATTTTCATCTTTTTTTTTCACTGGTAGTACTATTTGGATGTAATGTAAGTGTATAACATAGTCCACTTCATTTGCAGGTAGCTGCTGAACTTAGGGTCCTGCAATTGATCAAGCATTTTATAGCTTGGAGAAATTGCTTTCAGAATTGAAAGCAAATGCAATCTTGAAAATGCTGACAGGCAGTTAAAAATCATCTTCAGTGCATTTTTGGTGACTAACCAAAGTCACTTGATGATGTTAAAAATACTGGATTATCATCCGCCATTGAGGCTTTTCCAATGCTTTATAAACAGCCAAATTAATTAAATTTAAAGTGTGTGCAAGATTGCTGTGCTAATGGAACTGAAGTAACATAACTATTCTTTCTGTGGTCTTTTTAATAATTTTGTTAAAATTTAAACTTTATACTTGGTAATTTTATACATGCTTAAAGAAATATCACATCCAGGAGACCATAAGCAATGCAGTGTTGTCATTTTCCAATAAACTGTTTGCATTCTCCCTGTTTAAGTGAGAAGCCTACGCTAATTTTATAAGATCTCATATTAAGGAGCTCTAAATCCACATCAGTACAATCCTACATTGTACTTTGTTACTACAGTCAGTATCTGTAATTTAAAAATCAGGTAGTATGAAATTCCTCTTTATGGTGCATTTTATTGTGCCGCAATGTGCCAACCACTAGCAAAATACATTTTTTACTGTTTGCCGTCTGGTTCTTTTGTGGTAGCTACTAAGTCTTGGGAACATTGGGAGAAAGACAGAAACCAGATTAAAAATGTAATCTGGAAATGATGTTAAGGCAATTTTATGCCATTAGGCTTTTTTACAGTAAAACTAAGGATCCTCCACTCTGAGTCATAAATACTCTCTTTATTTTTGTTCATATTTTATAACTTTTCTTTTAGGCAGAAACAAAACCTTGGGAAAGTATTAAAAGCACATTACAGAGTGAAATACCAATGTACACTAAATCAAATGTGTTACAGAATTTTCTGATTTTATCATTCATCTTAACATGTTTCCTTTGTGTAATTGCACAGTTCTTCTTGAGAGAATACCATGGGTTCCACCTGAATGTATTGAGAATCCCAAACAACTAAGCCTGGCCACAGACAAATGGAGTTTTGGTACCACCTTGTGGGAAATCTGCAGTGGAGGAGACAAACCTCTGAGTGCTTTGGATTCTTCAAGGGTAAGTGTTTCCAGGTCTGCAGTCATAACAGTTCTTTGAAGACTTCTGATTTTAAACATTTGCTGTTGTAACTACATCCACATGTAAAGCGGCGTGGGCCATGACCACTGTAGGAAGAAGACATTTTTGCTGGTAGAGAATGATCAGAAGAGATGATTTGACATTTGGGTTTGTTGTTTGTTTTTATTTTTATGGGGACAAAGCACAGTGTTGTCAGTATTATAGTGTTCATATTTCTGTTGCTTTGGTGCAGCAGTCTGGCACTTTGAACAAGAAGTGTTCCTAATAATGTGTGTGGATTTTAATTTGCCTTATTTTGGTAATTGAACATCTTAAATACTGTACGACTTTGTGTGTTGCAGACAGTTCTACTATTTTAGCTAAACCAGAAATGTTAACTTTGTCTCAAGTAAGGGTGGAGGGGAAACACATTCCATAAAAGTACTACTTCTTTCTTATATATTTGCTTCTTTAGTTTGAAGGAAAAATACTTTACTATGCTATCAAAAGGTTTGTAGTAGCATTTTTATAATTGGTCTGTAACCTTCATACAAAGCCTGATCTGATTCCTCCGGTATTGTAATCAGCTCTTACAATAAGCTCCAAGGTTTACCTAGACCTAGTTTATACATATCTAAGTATTTTAGAATTTGCCCTCCTCTCTTGTAGTCTACATTATTTTAAAATACTCATGAAGCGTTTTGCAGCTATGAGCTCAGCCAGCTTACAGGTCAGGAGAATTTTCTGCTGGACCTATCCAGTTGAGGTTTTATGAAAGTACCAATAAAAGATGAAGTATTTTCCTCATATTTTTCTATTTTCTTATCTTTCTCCAGTAACTGGCTGGAAATTTCTGAACTGATTACTCTGAATTATGTCAGCCTTGCTACATGGTCAGCTTTGGGTTTTGATGGAAATAGATCAGATATATATTTGGTGAGATAACAAGCCTAGGTTGAGAGCTGTAATTTTTGGCTGCTCTGGTGAGAATGTTAAGGCTTCTGCAATTCTTCATGGTTGTAAAATGTAAAATGACTTACGTATTTAATTCCAGAAACTACAGTTTTATGAAGATAGGCACCAGCTTCCTGCCCCAAACTGGACAGAACTTGCAAACCTTATTAACAACTGTATGGATTATGAGCCAGATTTCAGGCCTTCATTTAGAGCAATTATACGTGACTTGAATAGTTTGTTCACTCCAGGTGAGTCTGATACAACAAGAACACACTAGACAGAAAGATCCCCGATTCCTATTTGTTCCATTTCATGTAGTGCCTTCCTTTTTGGTATGTTGACTCACAACCACTCTCCAAAGCAGTCCCAGAAATCCAGGTTCATAAGAACACTGTTACTGCTTTTGTAGTTTGTTCTAAAAGATAACATGTTAAAAGGTAACATCACTGTTCAAAGCAGTTTTCTGGTCTGATTAATGTCTATCCCAAACATTCTAGTCTCACAACCAAGTGTGTTAAATTTGTGACTGTATTTGTCTTTACATTTGATAAAATTCATAGGTATGGGGTTTTTTCCCAGGTGGAAGATGTATGTTAGATGCGAGCCCTTGTGAAATTTTTATCCCTCCCCTCTGCAGTAGTGGAGTTGTTGCACAGTAGTTGCTAAATTTGAATACAATAGGCCTGCAAAAAAGAAAATCGGGAAATTAAAGTGAGACTTCCTAGTCAAGACAAGTCACTTGACTTTTTTGCGATACATCTTTGTATTTGACTGCAAGTTACTATATAGAAATCATAGTGGCTGTTAGTATTCTACTGGGATTGTGGTATGCCAAACAAAGATAGAGCTTGCTATGATTGTAATAATGTTGTTTCATCTCCTGTTCACTACTCTGTGCCTCCTGTTTCATTTCTTCCCTGCTTCCTTCTACCTCTCAGATTATGAGCTATTGACAGAAAGTGATATGTTGCCAAATATGAGAATTGGAGCACTTGGATTTTCTGGTGCATTTGAAGATCGTGACCCAACACAATTTGAAGAAAGACATCTAAAGTTTTTACAGCAACTTGGCAAGGTAGGATGTTTCAAAACTCTCTTGTGTTTTTCACTCATCTTTCAATGACCCTGTGTATGTTATTTACATTGAAACTTCTGTTATAGAAATTAGTAATGTCAGTCATATCTGAGTACCACATGCAGTTTCTTTTAGATCTTTTTTCACTTGCACAGTATCCTTAGAAGAAAGTTAACTGACCTTCACAATTAATTCAGTCACACCAAAAGGCTAAAGTATTTTTCGGTAACACAGCTGCATCTGGCAGAATCTTCTTTTGACACGCACACTTGGTATTAATTAATAACACTCTGGAGCAGTCTTGCAGAAAACTAGTGGGATTGGGGGTTTTGTGCATGCATATTCTCAGAAGGCTCTAAATTCAGTAATGTCAAGATATATGTAGGCCTTGAACTTCCTACACTTTAGAAATTAGTATTTGGTTACTAGTTTTGCAGGTCATTGCAACCTGGCTGTGTGAAAGCATGCCTAGACAGATGATCAAGAGCAGCTGGCTTATCTTCACCAAGTACCCGTTTTCCAGAATGGTTCCTTGCTGTTTTATGGGGTTTTTTTACATGATAGCTATATATTCCTTTGGCTCCAAGCACTAGCAGAAGCAGGCCTGAAGCTAAAGTAGTGGAACTACTTCTATTTGCAGATGATTAATTGACTGTAAGTGGTAGTGCTGCATAGGGAGAACAGCAGAGTGGTAGGTGATGGCTGCATAACAGAAGATAAAGGCTATAGAGAAAGAGAAGAAGGTAGAACTTGAAGACAGGTGGGAGAGGAACCACCAAGAAACAGAGGAGAATTAAGAGCCAAGAGGAAGGGTTTTATGCAAGTGCAGGAAGATGAGTATGCCAGCTGACAGTTTGGAAGTGCAAGTAGAAATCTGAAGGGGGAGAAGACGAGTGGACATCCTTCCATCTCCTTTTCCTCATTTCTAGTGCTATATCCTTCCTTTTTATAGAATTTGTTAATATGAACTGTTACTTGTGATCCTACACTTTTTTTCTCTCAGGGAGGTTTTGTGACATTTCACTTAATTAATCATAGTCACCTTAATGCTTAATAGAGTGAGCACTGAACAAATACTACAAACATGTACATGAACTAACACTAAGAAAGAGAGAAGGATGTGGACTTGTTTTTAATTCCCAACTATTTCTGTTTGCGACCTAGGGAAATTTTGGCAGCGTTGAGATGTGCCGGTATGACCCACTGCAGGATAATACTGGGGAGGTGGTGGCTGTGAAAAAGCTGCAACATAGCACAGAAGAGCACCTTAGGGACTTTGAAAGAGAAATTGAAATACTTAAATCTCTGCAGCATGATAACATCGTTAAATACAAAGGAGTATGCTACAGTGCAGGTATGTGCTATATTGAAAACACCTGCGGGTGTACAACTAAATATGCATGCTGAGAATTTCAGAGAGATAAGTGTTTATGACAGTTACTGACTTGTCCCAGCTGTACCAGGACTTGGAGAGTACAAAACAAAGGAAGTAGTGTTTGTTGTATACTATCTGTAGTACAAGGTGGATGTTTTAGTCAGTCAGCTCCTTGCATGATTTGATTGATTTAGAAAAAGTACCATTTTGACTTATTACCCAGTTTCTTTATCTTCAAGTATAAAGGTCTTCCTAGAAAAGAATTTAGGGTTAAGTGGGAAAATGCACCATTTTTTAACTTTTCTTGTATTTTTGCTCAGTGTAATATTCCAGAGTGGATTTTACTAATTCTTGTACAGCCTAAACAGTAAAAGAGTGTACAGAAAAAAGTTTCAGAAACAGATCTGTTTGAGTGAATTGGTAATGCTGTTGAAGGTGATGAATGAAAGCATGTGTTCTGCCCAGGATCCTCCTGTAAAAAGACAAATCTTGGGCTCAAAATCAGGCTAGGTTTTTAAAGATGCTAAAACTGGTGTCAAGTTGATGTGGCTTGCCTCTCTGAGTTTCATCATGACAAACACAGATGTATAACTTTTACTTTGCTTTAGCAATAGTAGCTAAAGTATTGATGAGATGGTCCTGATTAGTGATACGTTAGTATATCAAGCATACCCACATTCTTGTTGTGTTGAAATAAGTGGCATTTCCTGAGCAAATGCGGTTAACTAATATATGAATATTTGTTAACTGCACTTACATACATAACTGCACATGCAACACATAGTGATGTACAAATCATACATTTTTTGTATATTAAAACTATTTTCTATTACGCCTATTCATAGATGTTTATTTATATTTAAAAACTTGTCATTGTAAAATCACAGAAAAAGTATGTTCATTTTTTTTGTTAAAGGTCGTAGAAATCTAAGATTAATTATGGAATATTTACCATATGGAAGCTTACGAGATTATCTGCAGAAACACAAGGAGAGACTGGACCACAAGAAGCTTTTGCTGTATGCATCTCAGATCTGCAAGGTAGGAAATTTCAAATTATTTCTATTTTTCAACAAAGCTTTGTCTCTTTGGTCTCATCCTATTTGTTTCAAAACAACCCAAACTGGTTGTTTTGGTGTATCTGTTATAATACTGTTGGGCTGCTATAACCCTACGCATAACGCTATAAAAAATGTAGCAATAAATATTCATGTAGTCAAGAGCTGGAAAACTTCTGACTGCCTCAATACTAGATGCTGAGACTGGCCTGTCATGCTGACCAAGGCAGAATATACCCATTTATTTTTGTTTATTTTCTAGTTTGCTAAGCTTATATTCCATTCAGAGTAAGTAAAACCTGTTTTCCATGTCATGAGACCTGAAATACAATTTTTTAGGTGTAAATGTACTCACTCAGGCTATCTGTGACATACTATAACTGATTTTTCAGAACTTTGACATTCAGCTATAAAACCACTATAACAACATGTATATGTTTAAAAAATCTAACCTTAAACTGTAAGTTATTTAGATTATTTAGCAGAAAGAGCAAAGATACGTGATTTCTATATGAAGAACTAGAGACCATAAAAGTGCCCAAAGCTGTAATGAATTATTTGCTGCTATTAGTGGTTGGTACAGAACATAAGTCATAAAGTTCTAAAAAAGGGGGGCAAACATATGATCTTTATTGTGATACCTCATTTCATTAGAAAGAGGGCTTGTCCCCCTACCCAGTTGTGTTCTGTAATTATACTTTAGGTACAAGAAACTACAGACACTTCAGATTTCATTGTGTGTTCTGTAGTTTGGGGAAAGGGGCGAAAAAAAAAGAAGAAAGAAAAAAATGGGTGTGAGGGGTAGCGAGACAAATATAAAAATTATACCCCCTCAAGGCATGTACCACAAATGTTTTTTACATTCTTTTTCCTAATGCCCATATTAAAGACATGGAAACAGTAGGCTAAATAAAATTAGTAAGTAATCTTCACCATATATAGCCCACATATATTCTTATGTCTGGTAATT